ATTTTCAGGGATTTATCATAGTTAATCGCTGTGCTGTCATAGATTGCATGTAATTGTCAATTTGTTCAATGATAAGCTGATAGCAAGTTGACTCCATTGTATTCTCATTTTATTGCGATCTTGACACACCTATGTATTGAGGCCTGACGACAGCAATTGATTGCAAGTCTTTGTAGACAACAAGATCACAAGTTTGTTGCAAAAGATTGCAATAATTTGTTCGTGTAATGGTCTCCAACCACTGTGTGACTGTCTGGGACAAAGCCTGGGACAATGGGATTTAGCCTTCTTTTTATTCTGATCCACACATTTGGGTGATGTTTTTAAACTCAACCAAATACATGTATTTTGTCTTGTTGTTTACTGTTGAATTTATATCCATGTATTTATTTGACAAGAATATATTTGATGTATATGCCTATTTACATTTTAGATTTGAGTCATTTCCTCTTTTTTCTCTTGCAGAGTCGGAAACATGCCAACAAAGTGCGACTGTATTACATGCTACATCCTGTGGATGGAGGTTGCCCTGCCAAGAAGCTCAGATCAGACAATGTGAGTCCTGTGTGAATTCTCTTCATCCTGCTGTGTGTTTGCCCACAGCCTTGGTAATCACCGAGAAACACACACACACACACCTCAGCCCCAGTCCACCCCTGCTGGTCTCATATGGAAACCTTTAATGGATTTTTCACAACAACAGCCGTGAGACTCGCTGGCCCCTTGTGCTTCAGAATAGGTGACTGATAAACAGCGTTGCCACATCTTTAGACCAATGAACAATGCGATTGTGATGGCACTGCTGGCGATGCCAGAGGACGTCAACCTTGCATCAAACACAAAGGCGCATTGTTTGGTGTCCGGCCCTCACAGCCATTACTGTCATGTAAATTTGAAGCATGCGATGTGTCTGACAGACACAATTATGTGTGACTTTTGTTCCTCTTTTTCTGCACTGAGGAAGGGTGAAAACACGCTTCTAACATCCTCTTTGCAGCTCTGCCAGCACACAGATAAGCATCACAGTGTGGAAATTTCATGGTGGGTGCTGATATTTGATGTAAGCGTCATGGTGAAAGGTGCATTTCCAATCCAAGTCAAGTTTACAGTTGGAGTGTGGTGGTGAAAGACTTGAATGTAGAAGTGGACAGACTTTGATGAAGAGACAGGGAGAGGTCTGTGCTTTGATTACTGAGGGTTTGCCAGCTATCAGTAAAGAAATCTGGGTTTCTGAACCAGATAAGGACATGTCAAGGGATGCTATTGCATTCGCTTGCTGCCTCAGCTTGTCATCTAATCCTGCTGCTCTTGTTCTTTCTCCTCTTGTATCCATCTACACGGGTTGGGAAGATGTCACACGCCTCCATTCTCTGTGTTCTCTAGTTTTGGATAAGTTCCTTTCCTCTACCTTCCAAGCATTCCTTTCCTGTTTCCTTTGTTTTCTCTTATTTTACTTTCCTATGTTTTTTTTATTCATTCCTCTTATACTTGAATTTCTTGACCCTATCTCCTTTTTGGTCCTAGTCTATGTTTTTCTACTTTTTTGTTTCTCTTCCACTGATTTCTTTCCTTTGTGTTTCTCACTTACTTATTACTGTTTTTGGTTTTGATGCATTTCTTATTTCATACTCCTTCCTTGCTTCCTTTTTAACCTTCTTTCTTTCCCTTCCTGTGTTGCTATTTTTACATTAGATATTTTCTCTTCTTGCTTTATAAGTTTTTTTCTCCTCTGTTCTTTTCATTCTTTACCCAAAACTTTTAATCCCCTCTTTTTTTGCCTTTACTTTTCCTGTCATCTGTTTTCTTTTATTTAATTCTCAGATCATTTTCTTTCCTCTCTTCATTTCCTCTGCACTCGTTTTGGGCTTCATTTTCTGGTCCACTTTTCATTTTCCCTCTCTCTTTCTCTTTTCTCTTTTCTCATTATCTCTGTTTCTTGTTTCTTATTTATCTTTGTTTAATATGTATTTTCCTCTTTGATCTTTTGCTTTATCATTTGTTCCTTCTTTCCCTCCAACAAATGTCACTATATTCAGAGTTTTGTTTATAATAGATTTTCTTCTCTTTCCTGTTTCCTTTCCTTTCCGTACTTGCAGACACCATTACCTCTTATACCTTTAGTGTAGTTTTCTCCCCCCCCTCCCTTCCATCACAGTATAACTTTTTATGTGATTTTTATGTGATGATGTGATAAGAACATTGTACACTCTGACAAGCA